TATTAAAATTGTGTGTTTCTGTAATGATAAACATATGATAAATGTTTACAATAACCAGTGTAGTTTTAAGTATGGTATCAAAGTATATTTAACGATATCAGCCCCCGTAGCATGCCACCGCACCAAAGTTATTATATCCATATTTAGCTCTCAAATTCGACTTATAAAACCGCCATTTAAAAATTTTATGACAATAGCTAACACCGTGAGCACTATGACGTCACATTTTTGTAGGATCGCGAGCTCCTCGACCAATGGATACCAAAGAATGTCGCAGTACCAAGCATGGCTGCAAGGTCACAGCTCATTTTAAAACTTTTTGACAGTTCTGCACAGTAATTTTACCAACGTAAAAACTGAGCGCCAGAAACGAGATAAGAAGAAATAATAAAAACCAACAAATTGATCTATACGAGTACATATAAATTATTGGAAAAGGTGAGGAGAACTTAATACTGTTCAAGTAATTAAAAATACGCAAATAATAACATAATATAAAACATATAAAAACTGAAAGTATAAAAAATAATTGTTTTATCGTTTTCGCGGCGATGATTAAAAGACAAAGATAGCTATATACACAATTTCTCATCGTTATCCTTGTTCTTCAAAATTAACAGTAGTTAATTACCAAATAAACAAAAGAACGAATTACTGTGGTGTGGTATCTTACCGATTCAGTATTCGCAATAAAAAAAAATTAAAATAGCAACATAGCTTTATCAAGTAAAATAAATATGTCACGTGGAGGTTTATCACACATTCCATGTGATATACGGCCATACTATTGCCACAGATATCATTATGTATCATAATCTGAAGGCTTATAATACTATTTATGTGCCAACCACACCAATCTTGTCTTACTATTTATATTAAGGGATTTGCATTTTCATAACATTTTTTTATAAAAAATAATTGCGCATTTGACCTCCATCTCACCTGATGGAAAGTGACGATGAGGTCGAGGATGTAGCATGCACACCTAAATAATGCCTATTCGCTCTCGCCTTGAAAAGGTCCAAGTCGCGGCGTTCGGGGAACAAATCTGCAGGCAGGGAAATCCACTCCCTTGCCCCTCGCCATACCAATGTGGAAGCGAAACGCTTCGTGTGAATCCGGGGAATATCCGCAACATAGAGGTCCTCAGTCTCCCGATGATGGAAAGGGGAAGGCGGAATCAAATTATGCAATTCCATCGCATGATATATCCTGTAGAATACCTATAAGCTGGCAACTCTACGGCGGTGTTCAAGGCTCTGCAGCTTCGCCTCTACTAGTTCCGAGTCACCTATAAGCCTCTTAGCATGCTTGTCTTTTGAATCCACGGTGGCCAGTTGGTATTTAGTAGAGCCATCCCATAAGTAGCAGCAGTACTCCATACACAACCGGACTTGTGCTTGGTACAGCTGAAGCAACTGTCCCGGTGTGAGGTATTGCCTCACCTTGGAAAGGATGCCAAGCTTCATAGCTGCATTTTGGACGACAGGTCCATTCCAAGTAAATGAAGACGGTCGACTATCGGTATGGATATATCACGAAAAGTCGGAGTCAGGTGAAAGGGACTCCGTTTAGTGGAGAAAAGACACGCCTGCGTTTTGGTAGCATTAAATTTGGCATCGCCCCAAACGGATAAGTGTCAAATTCAAACGACTAACCATGGACTCTCGACAAGACTGGATTTCTTCTCCACTGACCCTTGCAGTTCCAGATTTTGGCACTTTTTTTGTTTGAACAATGTCAATTGCGCTGATTTTGCTTAGCATTAAAACTAAAACTAAATAAGATATTAAAAAACCGCTTCTAGGGGGTTGTAGATTTAGTCTCATTGGTTCAGAGCGGGATACGATTGATAAAAATGTCGTTTATGTTAGTTATGACATGGACCAAATATTCATCTCCATACTACAGATAGAGACCAAGTAAGTAACGAGAACGGACACTCTCTGCCCCTCCCTTGCTTTAGATACCGCACCACGTCCCGCACATTGACAGTCACATTGACTGAACAACAACAAGACTGTCGGCGAGCCGTTTTCGCGCTAAGACGGCTTTGATATTTGAATATAGTCTTCATTTATTCATTACGAAATTTGCACGTTAATAAATAACATCATTTTATGTTACTTTTTATAATGGTCGTAAATTGTGCTGTGTACGTGCGTTTATAATCATCTAAACGGGATAAAGAGAGGAGTTTCTTTCGATTTTTGAAAGATGAAACGAAGTAATTAAAAAAAGTATCTGAGACTCATTCAGTTATTGTTTTCTTTACTGCAGAGTAATATGTAATACAGATTTATTATATCAATATAATAAGACGCTATAACTTCGTAAGCAAGACAAGGGCTTTCGAATTTTCAATTTGTATTGCCGATAAATATTACGTAGTGAATATACTTTATTATTAACTAGGTAATGACAAACTTGGACACGCAATTTCAAATATTTTGGTTGCCTTGTTTAAAGGTACCTGTCCAAAATATAACATTTTAAGTGCTTTTAATATATTTTTTAAATAAATCTTCATTATTATTCTAGTTAGTGAATTAATGAAAAATATAATATTATACCGATATAAACACGTAACGAACATGTGTAATTATTAGGATTCTATAATAGAACTATAGATAACAGATTCACTTTAAAATTCTCGCTATGTTGCCGTTCTGACCACGTAACGTAATAGTACGAGCAAGTGATGGGTAACCTTGCCACTTCACGCACACATTGGCGCGTATGCAGATAGCGCTTGCTGTATGTAGTAGTAGTGGGTAAATAATTTACGACCGTTGTATGGAGTGTCCGGAGTGTGCTACAGATTAGAACTATGGATAATCCAACCCTATGTCAAAATGGCGCTGATCGATAGCCTGCAAGCAGTGGATATCAATTACGTGTTTCAATGCGTATGCATTGTTCCACCTGAGTAGCACCACCAAATCTGCCGGGTAGGCTATATAGTATGCGGGGCTATGTTCAGTGTGTGCGTTATTATTATTATTATTATATTATTAATTTAGTTTTTAAATGAGTAAATAATTAATGTAATTATATTTTGTACGGTCCGACTTATGAAATTGTATATATGAAATATAAGTTGTCAGTTTTTTCTTTGTAATATAATTGAAATGTTTGTTTTTAATTGCAAAGATCTTAGGAGGCACTGTGCCCGTCATCCTAATACATAATTTGGCATATTCCATGTGCCTGTAATTTCACCAGCACCCTTACTTACCCTTCAAAAACAGAAAGCAGTAATGCTCACATTACTGCTTGGCGACAGAAATAGGTAAGATGGCAGTACTTCCCTGTACGAACTCTTTCACAAGGAGGTGTACTGCTACTAAAAATTATTTTCTGAACTTGGACAAATATGCGTGTCAGGTAGGAATTGTGTGTTACAAATTAATTTTATTAACAGTCCTCTTGAGAAATTCCTATAGTGTCAGGGCGACGGCATTCACTCTAGGGCACTTCCTAAAAAATCCAACCAGCACCCACAATGCAAACCGTAATTCCACCAGCCTCGTCAAATTAATTAGATATGGTAAGTGGAAAAAATAAATTGTTGTTCGACATACAGGAGGCGATTCTGGTGCAACAAAGAAAATGTCGAAAAAACATGGAAACATCGATCGTAACCAATTTTTAATATTTTCTAAAAACTGATAGCAGTAGAGCTCCTTGTGAAAAAGTCGTCCAGGGAAAATACTGCCACCTTACCCATTTCTGCCGCCAAACAGTAACGTCAGCATTACTGCGTTCCGATTTTGAAGGGTAAGGACTTGTCAACTTATGTCTCAGGATGACGGGGGCAACGGCAGTGCCCCTCAGATCTTTGCGATTTAAAGCTCTGAGTGGCATTGCAACTGTAACGGATAGGCGTGTGGCTTACCGTCAGGAGCACGACTTGTTCCTCCCATCACTTAATATTATAAAAACTAAAACTCAGAATATTATGACCGGAATAGACTTTTAACTTGATTATTTTATTTATTTATTTGGGTCAACAAATAGTAGATACAATTATAACTAATATTTTTTTATGGTTTTTTATGGTTTTATGTATTTTTTTTGTAACAAAATTAAAAAGTGGTGATGCATATCAAAAATAAACAACGAAAGGAAATAAAATTGCAACTGAAATGACACAACAACGCCTTCCATTACAAAGTAAGTAGATTAAATAATGTATTTATATATTGTACAACGTCTACATATACATGTCTATTATATAACATATGTCAATTCTGTCATTCAGTTTTTTATTAATTTTAATGATCGAATACAGAAATGTCTACGTCACAAGTTTCTTGGCATTGCATTTATTTTGTTCTGCGAAAAAGTAAAAAGAAATTAGATATAATCTGTGATACATAAAAGTGTCCGTAATGAACTCTATTAGTTAGAATTATCAGTGAGTTACGGGTGAGTATATTTATGTTGCACTCAAATTAGTTCAGGTTAAGAATAAGGCGTCACAGATATCAGGACTATAATTTATGGTTACGATAGTAAAAACCTCCAAAAACAAAATTTTAACTGCCAAGAATATGAATATTTTTACTGTAACAGTTTAGATGTTTAAACAAGACAGCATGTCTTGTATGTTACATATCTCAGGGAGATGATGGCTGGGCGACAGATTCTGACAAGGCTTTGTAATATAGAAATCTACATTTGGTTTGTGTCGCAGAGTAAGATATGCATAAATAAAACATTTAATTTTATAATTTGTAACATCGCTGAGTAAATGTAGCTACGTTAGGCTATGGCGTATATATATACATATAAACAAAATGCTGCATAAATTTTTAGATGTTCTGCAGTTCATTAACCTGATATATAGGTAATTTTGTTTCTGATCATATATAAGAAGTTGAAGCAATTAAAATTTTATTGCATCTATTAGGTTCCCAATTAAGTGACAGTACAATTTTGCACTCTTTTTAGCTTTCATTTGCAAATTACACAACATTGAGAACAGTAAAACGTACCTGATCGTTTTGATCATGTGTCAGATAGAGCCAGCCGAGCAGAGCTTGAGGGTAGTTCTCCGTCTTCCCGCAGCGCTGTGGCAGGTCAGCTCCCAGCGCCGTCGGTGACATCGCCTCATCGAGTCCGTCACGTGAGATTTAAAACACTTCCACCCAAATTAAACACGAACTTCATAAATCGAGTATTAAAATTCGAATATTGAAATTGAAAATTCGAATATTGCAACTGAAACTTGTAAGTTGCAATTCAAATTCGCAATGAAATTCGTTGTAGAGTTTGTGTTTTTCGAGAGCACGGTCAGCCCATGTCAGCGATGCGGCCGGGCCGGAGGTATTTTTGGATCGCGTTGCGTTGGTTGCGCGCACGCCGGCTACACTGTGACTAGTGCCGCTCCTTAAGATGGGAGATGTCTGGATTAGGGAGGGATTTTATTTTCGTATATGTTTATCGATATCGTTCCGGTTGATATTACAAAATTGCTATTTACCAGGTTTAAAACTATAGTGAAACAAAAACTTGATAGTAAAGGTTATTTATACAGCTTCTACGTACTTGGATGGCAAAAATCCGTAGACTACTACGGCACGGTACCCGTTTAGCTCTTCCAGGTAGTTTCGATCTAAGATGTTTGAAATAAATATTGTAAATAACAAATATATTAAAATGCATATTTACAACGAACAACCACTAAAGTTTCTTGCTTATTCTTCTCTTCGGGAATCTGCCTTAAGAATGGCAGTAGAGTTTATTTAATAAGAAGATTTCAAGTGTAATTTGCTTATCTATGAAATAAAGATGATTTAACTTTAAGGTTCATATTGACACTAGTCGTGTTTTAATATGTCGGTATGCAAAGTTTTAAAGGACGATAGATGGCGTTCATAATATTACTGCGGATATTTGTGAAAAAATTTGAATGGCGCAAAAGGTAATTAAAGCAAATACTCTATAGAAATTTGACACGATGCTATTGTGTGTTAACATGTTTGATGTCATGATTCCTATTCACTTGAAACAAACGCTAGTTTATTTATTGTTAAAGACACTTAAATTTCGATGGTTCATCGTAAATCGAAATAAAAATTGCCGATACAGTCCCATCCCTACTGAACATGTGGGCGCGCCCGACCGCCGGGACTCCGGGGATAGCAATATTTTTGTTCAGACCCCGTACCACGACGTACAACGATTTGAAACTCAAGACTCTGTACTATGATGGTGATGTTATATGAAAACGACGTGGTATCGTTTTACTGTCGTAATTTTTGTACACGTATGCTGTTTGTGGCGTTATCTAGTCCTGCAGATTGAATGTAACAATTTGAGGAGGTAATCATGGAAAACACCTCTGGTGATTAGGTTCTGACGTCCTCTACCGTCAAGGAATATGCTTAGCCATTCAAAGGTAAAAATCATTGCCAGTCTCCTACGGTGTCCCTAGACCTTCTAAGTAATTTTCTACTTTTTTTTATCTTCTATATTAAGCATATTTAGTACACTGTAGTGTTTATTGAATGCTATATAAACACAAATGGAATAATATTATCAGCAGCAGCTAGCTCCATGTTAAAGGGAGTACTGACAACTTACCTATTTCTGCCATCAAGCAAGCAAAGTGAAATTACAGGCACATGGGACTTGTCAACTCATCTCTTTGTGATTTAAAGTTTTGAGGGCCACTGTAACGTGTATGGCCAGGCGTGTAAACTCCCACCAACCGCAAGACTTGTTCACCTCGTCACGCATTATTCGTAGACGTTGGTCCTGGTGCAATGTCCCCTGTTTACAATATTACCCCTTTGAATGGTTATAATTTCATTACTACATGCTGCTAGCGGCGGCAGCTCAGGAAGGTTCGAATCCCGACTATAGTCTATCTGTTTAGGTACTCAACTAAATGTAAACAATCTTGAGATGTCTATTTAATGAAATATACATTTATAAAATGATTTTCCCTTACCTTCAAATACAAAATACAAATACTTAGCTTCATATTAAATTGCATGCCTATTTTTATACCTATTGATTTGTAAAGCATATGTTTCAATAAAAAGATGTACCTATCAAGATTGTTTACATTTAGTTAAGTACCTAAACAAATGGACTATAGTTTTTA